TAGATAGTTGTATGTCATAGTTGCATATCCTTCTAGTTGCTGTATGTGGGATGAGGCCTCAGCTTGGCCAGAGAAGCGGTGCGTTGGTGCGCACCTGGGATCCGAACCTGGGCTGCCGGTAGCGGAGCGTGCGCACTTAACCACTAAGCCACGGGGCCGGCCCCTTAACTACTTTATTGTTGGACATTTGAGTTGTTTTAAATTTTTTACTGTTTTAAATAATACAGTTATACACACTGAGCACAAAATCATTGCTTGAGTTTATGATTGATTTCTAAACAGAAATTACTGGATCTGAGGGTGTGAGCAGCACCATTGATATCTGATGCTATATGGAATACTTTGTTTCTCTCTACTATTCTTTTCTGACCTTTCTTTGTAGCTATTTCATATGAAATATTTTGCAAATAATACCTTAAAGCAAAGGTAAGTCCTTGCATTACCTGTTAATTCCATGAAAATTACTATCTATAGAAATGGATGATCTAGGGTATCAGAGGAGCATCAGAGAGGGAGCAAAAGAGAACGTGGGTAGAAAACATGACGATTATGTGATGTGAGGGTACAAGCGACAGAAGCAAACAGGCTCTGGTGAATGTGTGCTGGGTGAATGTGACTTGCTTCTCTCTTGCCAATAAGATGTATAATTTTCTCCTTGCTGTATAGCAACATTGGCTATGAGATAATCGTCTAAATTAAAGTTGTTTATATATTCAATTTTATTTGCAGGTAAGAGAAACTCGAATAATTATTCCTACCAAGAGATCTTCTTAGTTAATTCTGGGAAGGATTAGCTTGATTATCTTAATTTCATGGATGATACACAGAATGGTTAAATGAGTGTGCAAAAACTCTGATAGAATCAAGTATTTTACAATTAAATTTTAGTCCATTATGATTAACCCTTCTCACCTAATTATTTTTTCTTTGTAGACCTATAAGCTGGCCATTACAGATTTGACTACAGCCATCAACATGGACAAGAACAGTTACATAGCCTTTTATAACCGAGCCTTATGTTACACCAAGATAAGTGAACTTCGAATGGTAAGACGCCCAGTTTAGTAAAAACACTATCAAGCATTTGTAAACACATGTAAAGCGTGTATAAAGTATTTCCTTATTATTTCTGTTATAATTTTGAAAAATAATTCCTGTGGAATTACAGACACACCAAAACCTTGAGAAACCAAAGAACCATTTCAAAGAATACTTAATTTCTTTGTTAGTGCTCACTAAATTTTCTTAAACAATATCTGCAACGCCAAATGAAAAATTAATTTTACAATGCTTTTATAAGCATTGAAAGGCATATATAAATTAAAATACATTACGTAATTCTCACTTGACTAAATGTTTCTACTGATACACACTGCCTGCAGAATTTTTAAGCAGTGAACCCCAGCAATACTGTTGCTTCAGAATCTCAACATTGGCTAGAACAGTATGTTGAGGTATTTTTTGTACAGTGCTCAAATCACAGACACAGCAGCGGGTTTGAGTGATGGTTTCCAACTCCAGGACCAGGGACCAGGATTGCCTGTGCATCTCGAAGCCCTAACTGACGGCCACAGCACACCTTTTTCTCTAGCTGTCCTCATCCAGCTTCTACCTGTGCAACCCCTCTTCTTATTTGCTAATCTTGCACCTCTCCTCCCTCCGTCTGTCGGTTTGGTCCTTTTTCAGTCAAGATTCCTCACCGGCCAGCTGGTCTGTGGTCTCAGTGCTCTGGCCACCCTCTTGCTTCTCTTTCTCAGTTGTCCACTTGCCTCCCTTCCTTGTTTCTATCCACTTCCACCGTCAATGAAGCCTTCCTGAAGAAGCACACATCACGTTCCTGCTGTTCTGTGTGGACACACTCCCTCAATCTCCTTGAAATTTGGACAGTTAAATCTGTTTAAAACATTTAGAGATTTAGAAATTTATTTGCTGTGGAAGAGAAGTTGAGAAACATTGTTTCTACCTAAGAGAATGTAAAATTCCTAGTAACCAGACTATCAGGTTTCCTCCAGAAATGTTGACAAATGAATAACTAATTTTTAACAAAGGAGTTGTTAAGATTCTAGGAGCTAATTAAAGGGTCATTTATCAGAGTAACCTGCACAGCAGGCGTCTTTGACGACCCCCCTCCCCACCCCCACTCCTGCCTTTTCTGGGTAACTCTGAGGCTGCACACAATGGGCTAGGTGGGGGCAGGGAACTTCCATTTTTGTTATCTCTGATAGGTAACAGAGCCACTGCTCTATGAATAAGGAAAAGGAAAAACTACCTAAATAGAGACCTAACTGGAAAAATAATGTATTGGCTATTTTAGAGCTGCCACGTACCCAACGCATTTCATCCAATCAACTCATTTTACAGATGAGGAAATGGAAGTAGGGAGAGGTTAGAAACACATCTAAGTCACACAGGGAGTAGACCTCTATTGGTGTTCCCAGGTTTGTTTGCTTCTGGTTAACAGTCTTTAGGTGGCTTTGTAAAACCAGCTGACATCCAGCTTGTGGACCGGATGTCACTTAACAGTGTCACCTCCTCCCTCTTTATCTACCTCCACCTGTTTCTCAGCATTCCTGACTGAGAGTACCCAAGAAACTTTCTGCAGAAAATGAACTAAGGCATTCTCCCAAGATATGCCTTCATAAAAATTAAGAAAAGGTGAATTCTGGTTCCTACCACTCCATACTAATAAAAATAATAACAGTTACCACTTACTTAGGGCTATTGTGTGACAGGCACTGGGCTAACCGCTTTCCCAGCATACCATCAAAATATCTTTAAGTGGACCCTTACAACAAGGTGATGAATTATTAATATCCCAATTTTGCAGATGAAGAAATTGAGGCTTAGTGTTAAGTAACTTTCCCAAGACTGAAAAGCTAGTAATAATAGCAGAGGCATGATACAAATCCCGCTCATTGACCTTCATGGAGTCTCATTTCCCAGCCTTCGTTTCCTCTTGTGTCACATATTCAGCTGTTTAGTGAGTCTCTAAGGCATCTGACAGGTTTCACATTCTGCGATTCTGTGAAAGAAAAAGTACCAACTTTCTTGTTTTGTTCTGTTTTTACAAGTATTATGAATTATTTTTACAGCCCTGACCATGTTTATTTATAATTAGGCCACAATGTACGTTATAGAATCTTTAATTGTACAATTCTTTTAGACACTTGAGTCCCTAATCATGAAACACTGGAGGAGGACCAATGAGCACATAGTAAAATACTATTTATTTGCATTTTCTGTTAGCCTGTGTTATAGGCATGTAAGATTTGGCCCTTTTCTAATGAAACCATATGGCTCTTTTGGACAAAATATGCAGTAGGAAAACCAGTTAAGAGATTCAGCTGCAACTCAAATTTGGGATGCTCCTAGTACCTGGTGTAGAGTAGATGACCAGTAAAAACTTGTTTATTCACTGAATGAAGAGAAAAGATAAAAGTAATGGAGAAAGTTGATTAATTTTCAGCTTAGACTAATATCTTAAAAAAGCGAGTATACCTATCAAAATATTTTGAAGTAATTTTCCAACAAGTGCTTATTTGTTAATTAAGATCCATTTTCATTGATTCATGGTTTGTTCATTCAACAAAAGTTTATTGAATGCCTATTATGGGCAGGCACGGTGCTCATTACTGGCTTTACAGTGGTGGACAAAATGGATAAGCTCTGCCTCCATAAAACTTAGGTTTCAGTGAGGAAAACAATAAAACGCTAAAAAGAAATTAAATTTCAGAAGGTAACAAGTGCTCTGTTTTAATATCGACAGTCATTTGGTGAAAGTAAGGGGTGGGGGAAGGGTGTCGGGTCCCCCCTTCCCACCACAGACAATAAAAATGCTTAGGATGATTCACAGATGACATGTGAGGTGCAGGCACAGTGCGTACCACTTACTAAAAAGTGGTAGCATCCATAATATTTAGTTCAGGGGACCCTTTAAATGTAACAAATGATTATTTTTGGCCATAAACTAGAAGTCAAATTAAAGAACTAAATATGAGGTCTTAGTTTGGGCATAAACACATTTGTGCATGTGTGGCCAATGTAGTAAGGCTCTAAGGAGGTGAATCCAGGCTGTCAGTGAGTGTTTTATTTTTAGGCATTAACAGATTATGGAATTGTGCTTCTTCTTGATGCTGGAGAAACTGTGACGTTAAATACCTTCATTAATCGTGGACTCCTCTACGTAGAACTCGGGCAGCACAGTTTTGCATTAGAGGTAAAACTTCCTGTTTCCTTGTAAAAACAAACCCACTTGATTTTGCAGGTTCATCTCGAAAATAGTGAGCAAGTTTTTCTTGATGTCAAATGTCAATATTAATGAGCAGTAACTCAGCTTTAGGAAGAACTGTATTGAAATACTTTGACTACTAGAATCTTAGCAGAAAAAGTGTATTTTTACTTTGTTTTGATTACAGATAAATAGCCAATATGTAAAAAAAATGTTTCTGATTTGATGAAATATCAAGGCTATCACCTCCCCCAGGGGAGTATCTTGACGACACACAAAATTCAAATATTTGGCAAATAAATGATTTATGTATCATTTACTTTGTTGCTCGGTGCTCTTTCTCATTCACAATTTTCCTCATTCCCCTTGAAAATATATCAAAATAAATCTGCTTTTTTTTTCACATAGGGCAGAAAATAGCTGCTCAAAATAGGCTACTGAGAATAGGTTTTTAAATTAGTGGGAACAGGCGCTTGGAACGGCAGTAGAAGAGAATATCTGTAATGTATCAAAAAGAAACAGGAGGCTTAAAATGTATTTCTTTATTGAAAATTAAGCAAAATTCATATTCTCATTTATTTTTATCTTATTTGTATTCCAACTTTGGAATTAAGATTAAGAGATACACGGGGGCCGGCCCGGTGGTGCAGCGGTTAAGTGCTCGCGCTCCGCTGCTGGCGGCTCGAGTTCAGATCCCAGGTTCGGATCCGGGGTGCGCACTGACGCACCGTTTGTCAGGCCATGCTGTGGCAGCATCCCACATAAAGTGGAGGAAGATAGGCATGGATGTTAGCTCAGGGCCAGTCTTCCTCAGCAAAAAGAGGAGGATTGGTATGGATGTTAGCTCAGGGCTGATCTTCCTCACACACACACAAAAAAGATTAAGAGATACAAGGCAAAAATTAAATAGCAATTTGAAGTTTGCAGTTAAATAATGGTAGTTTTGCTTGTTTGTTTCTGAGGAACCATGACAGAACATTATGTCATGGAGTGTTTCCTATTTTGTTAACCTCCAAAGATGGCTTGTATGATTTTTTTGACTTCTGGAGTCCTCTTTTGAGATTCTGCCCTACAGAATTACTTATTATTAAGGAAGTGTCTGAGAAACTTTATTCTAGGCAATTTACACTATGATGAAATGTAATTTCAAGAGTTGAACTCCTTTAGGTTTTGGTTTTGAGTTGAACCATTTGGAATTCCCTCACATGAGGAGAGCTAAAGAACTTCTTTGTTTGGAGTAGGCAAGAAAGCTGTGGAACTCTGGGCACCAGTGTTGGATGGATAAAGGGAGGAAATGGGGATTGAGAGCAAAGGACCTCAGCTGTTGGTGAATTAAATGCAGGGCCTGTGTTGTCTACCAAGTAAATACTTATTGAGTACTTCACAAAAACATTAACTCTATATTTATTGCATACTTGCTACCTACCAGATTCTCAACGACACTGCACAATTTATGATTGTAACTTATAGAAGAGGAAGCTGACATTCAAAAGAGGTTAAATAAAGTCTTTCAGCCAGAAAGTACTGGGGTAGTATGTGAACTCAGGTCTCACTTGATTCCAAATCCTATGTTCTTTCAGACAAGACAAGGTACTGGCATTGACATTGAAGATATGGAGATAAATAAGACAGATTTCCAGTCCTCGAGGAGCCCATAGTCTAATGGGAATCATTCTTGACCCCTCTCTTTCCTCACACCTCACATCTAACTCATGAGCAAGTCCAGTCAGCTCTACCCTTAAAGCATATCTGAATTCGGTCATTTCTCATTTTTGCCACTACTATTCTCCTATTTCAAGCCTCCACCCTCTCTCCCTGGACTGTAGCAGGAGCTTCCTAACTGGCCTCGCTGCTTCTGCTTGTGTCCCTCTACTTGCTGTTCTCCACACAGCAGCCAGAGAGACCTCTTCAAAACATGAAGCAGATCAAGTTATACCCTCCAATGACTTCCTGTCACTCTTAGAATAAAATCTGAACTCTTGACTATGGCTGGTTCTGACCCTCCGTGTTCTGACTGCTGCTCACTGATCTGACTTCATCGTCAAACATTCTTCTTCTCTCCTCTCAGCTCACTCCACTCTGACCGTTTGCTATTGCCCGGAAATGCCAGGCTTCCTTCCTGCCTCAGGCTCCTCACACAAGCTATTCTCTATGCATAGAACACTCTTCCTACTGATCTGTGTATGGCTGATGCCCTCCTTTCATTTCAGATCTCTCCTCAAATGTAACTTCCTGAGTGAAAAAGACAGTAGATTAATTAAAATGGAACTTTAAAAAAAATTAAAATAATCCAAAATAAGTCTGGGAAGGGAAAACAAAGGAACAGAAAATGGAGGAGAACAGCAGAAAACAAATAAAATGGTAGACTTACACCCAACCATATCAGCAGTTACATTTAATGAAATGGTCAAAATATACCAATTAAGATAATGGGAATGTCAGATTGGAATTTTTAAAAAGCCCCGACTATATTCTGGCTATAAGAAACACACTTTAAATATAATGATATAGATAGGTAAGAGTAAAAGACTGGAAAAACATATGCCCTGCAAACACTAATTAGAAGCAAAAAAACAAACTTTTATCTATGTAAAGTAAAAAAATTAATTTGAAAAATTAAAAACAAAAGAAGCAAGCAGAGGAAGAACTAAGGAAGGAATACAAGACTGAATAATAAGAGAGCTAGAGGAAGAACCAAGAGAGGGCAGAGTCGTAACACCTACCCAGGGGAAAATTGTTCGTGGGAATGATTCATTAACAGAGAGGTCAAATCAGACGAGTGCTGAAAACATCTAGTGGAGGGATAGTTGTGTGCCTGCTACAGGCACAGCTTGACTGGGAAGCAGAGCAGCAGGTAGACGGGCCTTGGTCAGGAAGTTAACGGTTAAGCTTGTTGGATTGAGAACATCTGTTTATCTCTTTGTCCTCTTGAAAACCTACCAGGACGACAGTAAAGGAATAAAAAAGATATAGTTCCACAAGGTTAAAGATAGTGGAGAAGAGATGTTCAGGCAACATGCCATATTTTAATGCCTCAAACTTAAATATGAACAGGTAGCCAAGGATCCTACACTTGAGGGAAGTAAAATAGAAACTAAAACAAACGAATTGTCCTAGGTATACAGGGATGGTGGGAGAAGGAGAGGGGTGTGGAGTGATGGTGTAAGATAGCTAAATTCTGTCCTACGTTGGAAGTGACATGAGGTAATACTCATGTTATTTAGAAATTTGAAGGTAAACAGCAGAAGAAATAACAGCAAGATGTAAAAACGATTGCCTTTAAGGAGTGAGAGTCAGGGATAAGGAGAAATAGAGCAGGGGATCACTGTAAGCATTGTAAGTTTTCCAGTTTTATTAGAACCTGTCACTGTATACATGAGCTACTTTGATAAGAATAAAAATAATGTCTTTAGAGGCAGTTCACAAATTACAAAATAAAACTGGCCTTATTAAATAACACGAATAGTAAGAAGTTGATGGAATTTGGGGATGTGGAGACAGTGAGTGTTGACTGTGCTTTCAAGGAGATTCGTAGTGACAGGAACTAGAAAGACATGGCCGTGTGTAGTTGGCGGGCAGGGGGAGTTGAGGGAAGGCGTGTTAAATAGGGGCAGTGAGACAAGACACAGAAGACAGCAGGAATATGATGCAGCAAGTTTCCAGAGGAGATGGGAAGCAGAGAGGTAAAGAGCCCACCCTCTGACACAGAAAGGAAGACAGTGTGGGTGAAGGTCCTTACAAATAAACTCATCAGCCGAGGGAATGAGAGTCGAGGGAATTGGCTTTGTGTATGAGTGACATCGTGTGGTGTGTTATTTATGATCTTCATATTAGAGAAAAATCAATGCAGAAGAGAAAAATCATAAAAATTATGATTAGCTTTATTCTAAGTAATGCTAATAGTCATCATTTATGTCCATGGCTGATAATTAATGCCTAATTACCATGTAGTATAATAATGACTATGTATATAGAGACAAGTTGATTTTTGTAAGTTTTATCTGATTACAAAACTAACATTGGTGTTCTCAGCCTTTTAATTTAGTGATCACTCCTCACAACTCCCAACATTAATGGGAATATTTGTAATAAATCTCATTTTACTTGCAAGTTCGCTTCCATTTTAGCTAAACAATCCTCTTAAAGGAGTTATCTTGTAGCATATTTGATTATATTATACAATCAATTTCTTATTTTCTTCCAAATAGTTCCATTTAGTATACAAATATGCTTCAGGAATCTAAGTGGAGAGTCCACAGTCACAGATTGGTCTGTGACTGACACCTTCCTCCTCCAGTAGGGTACCAGAGCGCTCAGCTTGGCCCTCCTACTCCCGCTGCCGCCCCTAGTATTTGCAGAAAACTCATTCTAGCCCCATAAGACAGCCAGCTTCCTCCCTCTGATACAGCCAGGGAAGGTCTGTGGAAGGAGGAGGAGGAGGGGGAGGGGAAGCGGAGGGGGAGGCACAGGGAGACTGTTATGGTCAGCTCCTCTCCAGTTGGGTGGAAACCAGAACTCTGTCACTTGCCCTTTAAGGCTGTAGAGTGCCAGTGTCCCAGTCTCCAGGAAGGGAGTCGGAGGGATTTCCTTTGTCACCCAGAGGAGGTTACAGTACTCCCTACTGTTTAGCTTGGTCAAGTGAGGTTACAACCACAATGGCCCATGAAAATTCCTGCTGAAGCTGTCCTTTGGGAAAAAGCAGAGCCCTTGCAGTTGACATGATATTTTGATATGTAGATATTTATTTAAATATTTTATTAATTGCAGCTTAGTGATGTTCTTATTTTGCTTCAGGTCCCAAACATTTTTGTAGGGCTTTGTAAAGCTTGTGAGCTTCAGACTCTGTGTCTCTGGTGCCTAACAGAGGACAGTGTCTGGGGCCACAGGGGCAAGAGCTCTTGCATACTGAGCACTTTTAATTCTCTTAAACAACCTCTTCCCCACGGCCATTTGAGTCCATCCCAATTGACCTCCCTAACTTCAAATCTTGGGATCAGGGTTTCCATTGCTCCCTCTCGGGAGGTCTCTGGGATCTCTAGGCAAAACAGTAGACTTCTTCCTGGAAGTTCGGATTCCAAAGGTAGGAACAGCCTTGGCCAATCCACTCAAAAGGCCCAGTTACACCCTTTCCCTGGGTCCAGGGTACCTATTTGTCCTATAGTCACATCAAGCCAAAGGTTCTCTCAGGTGAATTTCCATTTCCACCTGGATGGGAAAGTCTCTGGTGGCATTCACTGGAAAAATAAATAAATAAATAAAAAGAAAGTAAATGAGGTGCCTCATTGCACATAGCAGGTAAAAGCTCAGGAAAAGTGGAGACCAGTAACACACGATTCTGAGCGAGTTTTCAGTTACGGGTTTCCTCTGATCCATCCATTGTCACTAGATGTGGTGCTAAAGGGAAGAAATAAGGTTTCAGGAAGATGTATATTTTAATGCTTGTGTTAAGTATATTCATGGCAGACTCAAAGTTAGAAGGAAGTTTAAGAAAGCACAAAAGATCATGTCGCAAAATTAATACAAGTTTATAAAACTGTTTCAGGACTTTAAACAGGCTGCACTGATAAGCAAGACTAACGTGAGCCTTTTTCAAGCCACTGCCATTTGCCATCACAGGTATGGAGTGCGATTGACGTAGAAGTGAAAGCAACTCCTCGTGTATAAGAGTGGGGAGCTCACCTGTGTGTGTCGTTATCTTCTATCTTCTATATTTTAGCTAAGTCAGCAAGTAAAAACCTGCATCACAGATTTGGGGGTGTCCATCTGATCCAAGCCCATTTACCGGGAAAGGACCTTGGTAATATACAGAATAAAATTATGCGTAGCTTGAAATATCTAAGAATAAAATCAAGTAATTTATTTTGTTCGTAAAATGGAACTTTTAAAAAGCCTGTTTCCTGGAAAAGAGGGTGATTTCAAAAAATAATATATTTTCAGGAAATTTTGCCTTTCGAAAACATTTCTAAATCTAAAACCGATTAAAACAATACCAGTAAATATCTGCATAATACAAGAAAACCTACAAAAACATATTACTTAAAAAATTATTACCTGTTTCTGGGACTACTGTAAAAACAAGTAAGTTATAGGAGGGGAGAAAAGAACAGTTACATGAGGCTGAATACAGAGGATGATCAGTTTAAAAGTTACTCTGAGATACTCTTAGAGTATAGGAGATTCGTTTTGATAATGATAATGTTTACATTTCTGCATATACATCTGACATATAAATATTAATTTCTGGTCATCTTACTTTTAAAAGCATAGAGATTCAGCACGGGATGATTTTAATGTGGGATAAAATGTATTTGGTTAAGTGATAGTTTACAGCATTATTTTTCATGAGAGGAACAATAGCAGTTAACTGGAGGAGGAAATTAGGATGGTAGACTAGGTTGTGTCAATATCCAGTTTAGACCATAGAACATAGTTTGAATTGTTTAGGAAGTCGACATTCTTCTTTTCTCCTTGTAGGACATTGATAATACGGCTACATTTCCCTAGGAGAGTTAGATTTTTAATTTCATGAATATAGTAATATAATACCTGGGACTTGTGAGGGTGTCTTTGGGTTAAAAGGCCTAAACTGGCACAGACAGCAAAACGTAGTCTCACCACTGTCTACTTTAATCCAGCAACCTGTGTACAATCCATCTCTTTAAGTCATTGTCATTCTTAAAAAGAGATGGAATAACGACAACTCATGTTTGTTTTGGGGGTGAGTGCAGATCAAAACTGTCTGAGCTCACTGCATTCTCTTAAAACTCGAAACAGACTCCAAAATTTCTCTCAACCTCATTCCTGTGTTTAGCAACCATTAGAGTCAGTGAATTTCTCTGTGTGTCGGCTCCCGGTCTCTTTTATGAAATGTAATCACTGGGTATATATGGCCGAGCCTCCTTAAGCTGATACTGCTTTGCAATTCCAAATAACCAACTTTTATCAGCCGACTAGAATCTCTATTGTCCTTTAATAAAAGTTGAATTTAAATCAACAGTAAACCCTGATCACCCACAGTTCCAATTCCACGTGTTTTGAGTTTTAACAGTTTTACTGACTTTAACAATAAGGAATGTTTAGTGATTGGTTATATGTATTTCAGGAAAAATATTTTTGCTTTTCAAGGTGTACTATAATGTTCTTATACCACAGCAGCATGTTCTATAAGTATTGAGATTTGCCACTGGCGTCTTAAAGCGGAGAAAGGAAAGATTTTCCCATTTGGAAAATTTTTAAAAAAGAATAAATCTTTAAATTTTAGGGCTTTGATCTTTGAACTCGTAGGGTTGCAGACTTCTGAAGTATGCCTTTGTGTATCTCTGGTTCTCGCTCTTGTGGTTGCTAGGAGACAACATTCCTCAGGCTGAATATCCTACTTGTTGCCCAGTTTGGTCACTGAGAGTGTGACGGTAGAGTTAATTTTTAGATCTCTTTGAGAAAGCCACCTTCAGATTAAAAAAAAATTATGTCACAGAGGGAGAGCCTGATTACTCAGAATTACATATCCCATTCACTTTTTACTTCAGCATGTTTGTTTTACTATTCTTATATTTGCATACAATACTTTTGAATCTTTGACTCTGCAAGCCACATTCTTTAGTTTTGGGAGGTATTTATGATTTATTTGCACAGCTCAGTAGTGCACATCTGGTCACGTATGTGGTTAATTTGGAAAATGCAGTGGGCCTTTGTGTCCACGGCCTCTCCTGCAAGCTTAGCACAGGATCCGTAATGAGAATCATGCACCTCTCTCAGTGATTACATTATTTTAGATTTATACAAACTCATTTTATTTTAGTAAAGCTAATTTGATATACTTTTATATTTGTGGTAGTTGATGCTTAACAATTGATGTCTCCATGAACACGTATCCAGATACAACACAGATACTCGGCCACATTTTTCCACTGTCCAAATGCTGTGTGATTGTTAACAAGAGCTTCAATCTGTAGGACACTGTGGGATATGCACATCTTGATTTTCAGTCATTATCAGCTTTGAAGAGCTTGCTAGGTGGCTTTCAAGGTCCCTTTCCAGCATTAAGGTTTAATGATTATTGACTTAGTCTGAACAGACTAGCTCATTAAACATTAGGTCTGATAACTAGATAGGTATAGAAAAATAGCTTCGATCCATTGCCTCATTTTTTTTTCTTTTTAAATTGGTTAGTCTATACAAAGGGTGAGATTATATTTTATAAACCATATATCGGCATATGTACTCACAAAGGATTTTTAATCTTCCTGTGGGTAAGAGGTTTAGCAGTGTGTATAATGCAATTTGGATGTCTGTAGACTAGGAGCATTTCAATGATTTATGGGAAAAATATGAGAGAACTGGGACTGCCATGGAAATTTAAGTTTACATGGTCACCATAGGTATGCATCATAAGTAAACAGTTCACTGCTCATAGGTAGAAATACTGAGCACAACAAAACCTGTCAACTAAATGAATTTTATACAAAATTACTACTGTCTAGTTATTCTTTTTGAGGTCACATTGATTTTTGACATTATACAAATTTCAGATATGTATCATTGTACTTTGACTTCTGTGTGGATTGCATCGTGTTCACCACCAAAAGTCCAGTTGCGATCCATAGCCATACACACGTGCCCCTTTACCCCTTTCGCCCTTCCGCCACTCCACTCCCCTCTGGGAACTGCTAATCTGTTCTTATCTATGTGTTTGTTTGTTTGTTTATGTTCCACCTATAAGTAAAGTCATTCAGTAATTGTCTTTCACTGTCTGACATTTCATTTAGCATAATACCCTCGGGGTTCATCCATGTTGTCACAAATGGCAAGATTTCATCTTTTTTATGGCTGTATAGTATTCTATCGTATATATATACCACATCTTCTTTATCCATTCATCCATTGATGGGCACTTGGGTTGCTTCCAAGTCTTGGCTATTGTGAATAATGCTGCAATGAACATAGGGGTGCATATATCTTTTCAAATTAGTGTTTTCATGTTCTTTGGATAAATACCCAGAAGTGGAATAGCTGGATCATATGGTATTTCTTTTTCAATTTTTTGAGAAATCTCCATACTGTTTTCTATGGTGGCTGCACCAATTTACATTCCCACCGGCAGTGTACGAGCATTCCTTTTTCTCCATGTCTTCTCCAATGCTTGTTATTTCTTGTCTTTTTAATAATACCATTCTGACAGGTGTGAGGTGATATCTCATTGTAGTTTTGAGTTGAATTTCCCTAATAATTAGTGATGTTGAACATCTTTTCATGGGTCTGTTGGCCATCTGTATATCTTCTTTGGAGAAATGTATGTTCATATCCTCTGCCCATTTTTTGATCGGGTTTTTTGTTGTTGTTGTTGTTGTTGAGTTGTATGAGTTCTTTATATATTTTGGAAACTAACCCCTTGTTGCATATATTATTTGCAAATATTTTCTCCCGGTTGGTGGATTGTCTTTTCGTTTTGTTCATGGTTTACTTTGCCTTGCAGAAGCTTTTTAGTCTGATGTAGTCTCATTTGTTAATTTTTTCTTTTGTTTTCCTTGCTTGAGTAGCCATGGTATTCGAAAAGATGCTGCCAAGACTGATGTCAAAGAGTGTACTGCCTTTATTTTCTTCTAGGAGGTTTATAGTTTCAGGTCTTACGTTCAAGTCTTTAATCCATTTTGAGTTAATTTTTGTGTATGGTGCAAGGTAATGGTCTACTTTCATTTTTTTTGCATGTGGCTGTTCAGTGTTCCCAGCATCATTTATTGAAGAGACTTTCCTTTCTCCATTGTATTGGCTCCTTTGCTGAAGATTAACTGACCATAGATGTGTGGTTTTATTTCTGGGCTCTCAATTCTGTTGCATTAATGCGTGTGTCTGTTTTTCTGTCAGTGCCATGCTGTTTTGATTACTACAGCTTTGTAGAATATTTTGAAATCAGGGAGTGTGATACCTCCAGCTTTGTTCTTTTTTCTCAGGATTGCTTTGGCTTGTTTAATTATTCTTGATAAAGAGTACGTTATCTAGCATTATTTCTGTAATACAGTGAGAAAGCAGCTACAAGCATTGTGAATCTATATTTAGTGAACTTTTACTTCTCAAATAGTGCCAGTGATTAGGAGAGAAGCACAATTTCATTTTGAACTATTTGAGGGAAGTGAGCCTGTGTTTTCTTATTAAGAATCCACAGAGCGAACACAGAAGATAACGACTGGCTCGTGTACGTGCATGTTGACCTTCGCCTGTCTGTAACGTCAGAAGCCAAGCCTTCCTGGGGCTTTACTGTGGATTCTTGTATGATCTTCTGGCAGAACACTTGATGTACCACTTTTGAGTAGTGTTTGCCAAAATATGGAGCAAACATCATGAGTACCTCAATTATTTTTAATGGCGTGCACAAGCATTAAAAAATATATTTTTTAAATTTATGAATTGTTTATTTCTAGAATTTTCCATTTAATATTTTTGGACCACTGTTGACCACGGGTAATTGAAACCATGGAAAGTGAAACCTCAGATAAGGGGGGACTACTGTACTCATTGGCTGTTTGACCTTTGCTTCCTTCCTGGAAAATGTCCTGTTTGGTTGGGCCTCTTGTCATTCCTTCCTACTGATTTTCGTGGCCTCTTCCCAAAGCTAGAAACTTAGTCAATGTCACTTATTTGGTACTTTCTCAGTTGTCCTTTGCCTTTTGGTTTTGTTTATGGTGTAACTCCTTTTTAAAGCCTACAGGATTTCTTACTTTTGCTTTAACTCAAATTAATCACAAACGCCAGAAGGCATAAAGGAAAATATTGATAACTCAACTCCATAAAAATCAAGGCCTTCTCGCATCCTAAACTCATGTTTTTTTCTGGTACTTTTAGGATTTTATTTTTTATGTTAAAATTTTGATCCATCTGGAATTTGTAGAGTAAGGTGGGAATCCGACTTTATTTCTTTGTGAATGGCCAGTTGTCAGTTGTTCCGTGATTGTTAGTTAATCCTTCCTCTCTCTCACTTGACAGTATTAAAAAATATTGAATCACATTGTGAGAAACTGAATTGCTTTTCAGTTTCAAACTGAATTCTTTCTCAAACCTGAATACATCCAGGAGAAAGTCTTAGCTAAGAGCTAGTCTTGAACATCTTTCCAACACTGTGCGAGATGGTGCAGCCCTCAGGTTCAGTGTTCTGCAGACTACAGTATCCAGCTCCAAAAGTTATTTATTTTTATGATTGCCTTCTGTTTATGGGATGAGACATTGATTTTTATTTATGGTATTGAAATTAAGTTGTCTTTTAAAACCGAGTTAGTTAAGTAAAAATGTGATTTGACTTCAAGAAAAATCTTCAGTGAATGATACTGCAGGTGGGGCAGCTGTCGAGAAGGAGGGGCTGAAGTCTGGGAGACAGTCTTCTGAGAGATATTGTTGAATAGTATCTAGGAGATGATAGTGTCTAGAACGGTTACCCTGGGTTCCATGTATTTTATAAAGGAAAAATCAGCATAGTGATGCATCTCGTTAAATTTTGAAACCTTTTTGAGAAGTAATGAAAAGAATGGAAGGAAGATAATAATCTATATTGGGTGCAGGTCTGTGTGCTAAGTGTTTTTCACATGCTCTCATGTGATCCTCATAACAACCTAGAAAGTGTAGTATTAATTTGCATGTTCGGGCTTAGCTCTGAACTCCACGCCTTTCCTCTGACTGCGCTGTTGAGACACCAGCTCTCGTGCACCAACTGCAAGTGTGTTAAAGTTGAGGAACTTGCAGTAGAGACGACTGTGCGGAAAAGCATGGCGTTTGGAGTATGGTTTACCTGAGTCTAAATCCCAGATATTTACTCTGTGCAACCTTAGTATGCTATTTACTGTGTTATTTACTAGGTGCAAACTTTTCTGAGCCATTCTCTTTTAATCTGTAAAATGTAGAAAATTACAACTAGTTTAGAGTTGTTGGAAGGATTAAGTGGGATAGCATATGTAAAGCACTTTGCGCAACACCTGGAAAGTTACTCAAGGTTAGCTCCCTCATTCTATTTTTTAAAACATTTCTAGACTTTCTCCATGTTAATTGAGATTAAGTATAATTAGATAATTATAAGTATAATTAGATATGCACGTGAGATGGAAAAGCGACTCTCTCTGCCCATGAACAAATACTTGATTCCCTCGACAGCCATCACGCCACCAAAGAGAATGATTAGGAGAGAAGCAGAGTTATCATTTAGTCACATGTATTCACCAGTTAATAAATAAAATGCATTTTACTTCTTTTTCTCCTCTCCTCTCCACAAACAAAGGGCCTGCTCTCATAGAAGATCTGAAGTGAGGACTTCCATGTAATGAAAATGTGGTTCCTTTCATTGTATAGGGAAATATTAAATACATATATGTAAATTTATTTTAATCTGATTTAAATAGTGCATTTCATCAATAATAGCACATATTTTTCTATATTGGCCACTGATAGCTGTTAAAAACAGGTTCAGAAACACCATTCAGACTTTTATAATTCTGAAAAAACCTCTAGAACAGCATCCCAGCATATTCTGCTATAAAAATGGCTCTCACCTCCCCCTCCCCTTTTGCCAAAATCTTCAAAGAATCTGTCAGACTTCCTTAGGTCTCATGGACTTATGTACCTACTTTCTGTGAGGGACAATAAAAATGAAAGGTTTTTTATAAGGGTCGATGCAAATCTTTATGAAAAAGTTATATACAGGAAAGCACTTAGAAAATTCCCCAGAAAGCATCAATATTTTCATTTGTTTTCAGAAATAAAGAGTTTGAAGAAGCCGTCAATTTCTTCACCTGGGCTCTTAAAATGAATCCACATTTTCTGGATGCTTACACTGGACGGGGCAATTCTTACATGGAGTATGGTCATGAGGAAGCCAGCAAACAAGCACAGAGGGACTTCCTGCGAGCGTTGCATTTTAATCCAACGTCCGCAAAAGCCAGAATCAGTTTAGGCTATAATTTGCAGGTAATATTATATAACTACGTTTTGGGCCACGAAAGCACTTTTTGGACAAGAGATAGAATGTATTTGGCCCTTTGCTGGCGATGGGGATCCGTATTATTTCTTTGATTATGAACATTTTGCTTTCGCTTACTGTGTGAGTATTCAGAGCAGCAGTGGGAAGCAGGGGTTTCCTTCATCACAGGGAGCCGCCTGGGGAGCTCGTCTGGGGAGCTGGTGTGCTGGTGAGACCAGGATCTTTGGAACCTGAGTTTCCTTAATGCCTGCACCCCTCCCTCCCCTGACCCCCAACACACTTATGGACAACTTCTAAATTTGCCCAATGAGTTTCACATAAGAGTCTGGCTAACCTTCATTTCACCAGCTTGTATCTGGGCTCCACAGGTTCTGTCCTGTTGAATTAGTGAGAAGCTGAAGGGAATAAACAGTGTATGAAAGTTTTGAAGTGGACTCCAGCCATCTGATGGCTCAGATGAGCACTGTACAGGGACTTCTGAAGTCAGGTCATCCTCCAGAAGGCAGTGAATTAGAACATCTTGGGAAGGCAAGAGACCAGGCATTTGTCCTTCCAGCGAGATGGAAGAGGGCTCCTCTGTGTGTGGCTACGCCGGTCTCTGAGTGATTTCTGGAACACTCTGACCTGACCCATGCACTCACCAACCTATCTGCACTAACTTGCACTAATAAAAGATGTAGTGACATTTTTGGAATACAGTGCTAAATGTGCTATATTCACGGAAAGGAACTGAGTAATCAAATCTTCTTTTTATCCCTTTTAATAGTCCAAAATTTAAACAATGGGCAAAAAAAAGTATGTTAAAATTATTGTAACGTGCAGAAATTCCTGTTAATAATCTGCCATTAAAGTTGATTTTTTTTTCATTTAAAAATTAGTGAGTTTGACTGATCTAAGACTAATATTGAAGGTGATTGTTGGGATTGGTGGTTATATGAGGTATGCTCAAGAACTTATTAATAAGGGAAATTAGACTGCCTTCTGAGAGTTAAACATAAAATTAGCCATTACTGGAGCACAGTAGAAATTTGCAAAGTCAATTTAAAGAGACAGGATGACTGCCAAAGCAGCCAGAACCTGCAATACAATAAAATGTGTTAATGTCATCATTCATTGCATTCAGAAGGCATTTCCTGAGCACCTAATATAGGACAGGAACTGCTCTAGGCCTGGGGATACGGCAGTGAACAAAATATACTTGGTTCTTCATGTAGAGTGTACTACCTAGTGGAAAGATCAGCATCAAGCAATCATATGAATAATTATTTAGTTGTAGTCATGATAAGTGCAACAAAGGAAAAGGATGGGTTTTAGGACAGCTTGTAATAAGGGAACCTAGCTTTGTTTGAGGGATAAGGGAGGGCTTTCTGAGAAATTAACATTTAAATTGAGGTGTGAAAGACTAGGAATTAGTCAGAGGTAGGAGTTGGGGCTAGGACAGTGTTCCAGACAGAGAGAACAGCCCATTAGCAAGTCTTGTGAGAAAGAGACAGAGGACCCAAGTGAATGGAGTGTTATGACCAAGGGGAGAGTGACGTGGGATGAGGCTGGAGAACTGAATAATGACTAGAGGTGAAGGCCTTGTAGGCCAGTTAAAAATATGAATATCTGGGGCCGGCCCAGTGGCATGGTGGTTGGGTTTGCGTGCTCCGCTTCGGCGGCCCAGGGTTCGTGGGTTTGGATCCCGGGTGCAGACATACACACCGCTTACCAGGCCATGCTGTGGCGGTGTCCCATACAAAGTAGAGGAAGATGGGCACGGATGTTAGCCCAGGGCCAATCTTCCTCACCAAAAACAAAAAAAAAAGCGTGAATATCACTCACCAGAACAGTGACATCAGGTTTGCATTTTTATGAAGATCTCACTGGATATTAGCAGCCTGAAAGAGGACTGACAAACACATCAGTATGAGGAAGGATTGAGTCAGGAAAGGAAGGACTGAAAAAGCAGAGTTAGAGGGGCCCATCCAAGTCCTGTTCAGGAGAAAGAGTGACCATTTGTTCAACGAATACAGATTCTCCTACCATGTGTCTAGCACTAGGGATCTAGAAGTGAGCAAAACAGATGTTGTCAGGAAGAGAGGATGGAAATAATCTTATTGTGAGGCTGTTTGCAGTTTAATGGTCTAATAACTCAGTCTCAATTTGCCTGATTTCTTGTTTATCAAACAAATTTGTGATGATGATGTTGAGTTCCACATAATTTACGCTGAGGGAAAAGATTTGCTGGTTAAAAAACTGTGTCTAGTTATCTTATTAGTTACATTTCTTATTACTTTCATCCAAGAGTCACTGGGCTCAGCTTGGTTTATGTGAGTCAGCTTCTGAGATTCTGACAAGTTGGGATTTTGAGCCCACAAGAATAAAGGACAGACCCAGGACCGTGCTGAATTTTTCATCTCACTGCCTTCCTGTGATGAGGTATTTAGTTACCAGCTGGTCTTCTCAGGAAATACTCTGACACTGTTCTATTAACAGTGCCCTCTTCTGCCCTTTTTTCTTGTTTTCTGGTTGGCGCTAAGGTTGGTATGAATAGATGGTTGGTAGATTTGCATGCATTTTCCATGGAATGTGTATAGTGATCCTAAAATTCCAGATGCTGGTACAATTCATCAAAATAGATTTTATGCCATTAGTTTATTCAGTTATTGATTCAACACATATTTATTTTGTTACGTATATATTATATATAATTGGAGATTCACTGTCAAATAAACACAGTCCCTGCCTGTGTGTGTGGAGCTCAATGTAAACGTTGTGATGATTGTCAGAAGCATTGGTGTGTCACATGGTGGCTATGATTTTATGGTGTCCGAGATTGGTATAAGAGGTGACTCTGACAATTAGATTTATTTTAATTAATTAAAATTCAGCATAAATATTCAGAGGTCAGTTGAATGCAGTACAGCCTACTTCCTTGTTTAACATATCTTTAGATGTAGCACAATATAAATATGTCCTTACTAAAGGTTTTATTTGATGAAGTTAGAATCATAAACATTTGTCATGTTATGGACTATTTGCTACTTCATGTAAGTGGAAAATTATTTTAGGCCCAAGGAAAATTCCAGAAAGCTTGGAACCACTTTACCATTGCCATAGAAGTTGATCCAAAGAGCTACCTAGCCTATGAAGGAAGAGCTGTGGTCTGTCTTCAGATGCGTGATAATTTTGCTGCAATTCAGGATATTAATGCTGCCATAAAGGTAAAAATCCACTTAGATTATATTATCATTAGCATAAATTAACACCATCAATGAATAGAGTCAAGTAAGAAGTTTTCTATTACTTTTTTAAAGTGACTTGTAGAGAAAATAATGTTTGTGTTTTTTTCCCAGGAGATTTCAGGAGTAAAGAGTTATTATGGCTTGCCAATTTTATAACCTAAGTATGTTTAAAATTCAAAAAACAAATTCCTGATAAATATTGATTCCTCTCAGTAAATGCCATTTGTAGTTTCATGGAACATCAGTATTATTTTGTAATAAAAAAAAGAAGGCAAAAAATAATGTTCTGGGTTTGAAGGAACTAAAGAAAGAATAAAGTAAACCTCAAGATTATTTTGTAGTGAAATGGCAAATAAAAATCTCAGGTTTTGTTTACAGTGACAGAAAATCCTCCTCTTTTCTTCTAGATTTTTGATTTTGTTTCTGTAGATTCGGGTAGATATTGTAATCTTTGAGATGAGAAAAAGGAAAGAACTGAAAGATAACAGCAACTACATAGGACAAATAAACATGTTAACTATTCAATTTCTCTCCAGCTTAACAGAGCTAAACAGTTAAGCTTTTCTCTCTGTGTCTGTTCCTTGGAAAGGAGCCGAGTAAAGCACTAAGATTATTTATTTTATTGCAACCCACTCAACAAAGTGTTGACATTGAACCAACTTCATACAGAGTCCTTTCTCAAAATATTTGCTCTAATGGGGTTTCACCTGCACTATAAAATTACTAGTTTCCCACAAGTAGATTTCATAACATTCATTTTTGCAGAACATGAAATCGGAGATAAATACTATTCCCAGATGCTAAATACTCATACTATTATACTGCAGATCAATACTACAGCAGAATTCTTAACAAATCGTGGTGTGATTCACGAGTTTATGGGTCAACAACAGAACGCAATGAAAGACTATCAAGCTGCAATTTCTCTAAACCCCGAGTACTCGCTGGCTTACTTTAATGCAGGAAATATCTACTTTCACCACAGGCAGTTTTCCCAGGTAGTGTGAGTTTTTCTTAACATTTCCTTTATGACACTAAGTGCTTTCTTTGTTATACATAGTTTCAAAATGCAATCTTTACATCTGGCTAATCATTCATTAGCTCTTCTTTAAAAAAAATGTTCCTTTCTTAAGAATGTTTATAATTTTTTATTAAATGTTTACACCTCTATGGATTTATTCTTCCTCATTGTCACCAACCATTCAACACCTGTGCAGGTAACATTGTTTGGGACATCCCCAAGGGCAGCAATCGCCTTGATATCCACTGTCGCCATCCTCCAGCCTGGAATCCCCTGCTCTCTGAGCCCACTTAGCCAAATCTCCGGCTTCCTTCAAGACCCTCTTTCATGATGTGATTATCTAACTTGTCTTAGTTTCTACCTTTTCTAAATTATAGTCACGTGAGCACTTAACTGGGAGTAGGGAGATATGGATGTTACTTTTGGTTTTGTGACCTCTTAATCTCCTTGGATCTCAATTCATAATGTCCGAAATAAAAGTATAGATGATTTTTTTTATATTTTGAATTTGTTTTATTTGAACTGTAACATGTAATACATCTACAGAATTCAAACTTTAATTTTCGCTTTTTATCTATATTCATTCTTTTGTTCTTTTTCTTCAATTTATCTTGTTCTTTGTCTATCTTTTTGAGCCAGAAGCTTAATTCATTTCTTGTCTCCCTTTTGTTTCTATTGTGATAAGTTGTTTAGGTTATGCCTTTTCCCCAAGTAGTGCTGTTAGCAATATCCTATGTATTTTGGTCTGTAATGATTTTATTTTTGTTTGTTTTCCCAAAATATTGCACCTGAAATTTTATTTCCCTTTGACTAAAGACTAAATTGATAGGGAATTTAAAATGTCCAGATGGAAGGGCTTTTCTATTTTCTAATTTGGGGATTTATTGAGTTTTAATGTGGTCTAGTATATGGCAACTTTTTTTGTGTGATGAAGGTCGGCCCTGAGCTAACACCTGTTGCCAATCCTCCTCTTTTTGCTTTAGGAAGATTGGCCCTCAGCTAAGATCTGTGCCAGTCTTCTCCTATTTTGTATGTGGGTTGCTGCCACAGCATGGCTTGATGAGTGGTGTACGTCTGTGCCTGGGATTCAAACCCACAAACCTGGGCTGCTGAAGCAGAGCACACTGAACTTAACCACTATGCCACTGGGTCAGCCCTGCAACGTTTTTTTTTTAAATATTCCAGGGGCCTTTGCAAAGAAGAGTTTCTACTATCAGGATATAGAGTTAAAAATATATGTATAAGATCTACTTTATTAATTATGTTTTTAATTAGCCTATATCCATACTTTTTTTCCATTTGGTTTATCTTAGACTGAGAAAGGTTTATTCCAGTATCCTAGAATTAGTGTGGCCCTATATAGTTTTCTTTACATCTCCTGTAATTTCTGCCTTATGAAAATTGCCACTACATTATTTCATGTGTAGATACACAATGTGAATTGTAGCCTTCAGCATTACAAATGCCCTTCTTTGTTTCTTTCAATGTTCTTTGGAATAAATCCTCCTTTATCTGATAGGAGGATCGGGTCCTCTGGTTTCATTAGGTTTGCTTGTGCTGATATTCCTTTGCCCTTCCTTTTACTTTCAGTGTTGAGAATCCTTTGTTTTAGGTGTCTCTTTATATGGCATATGGTTGGATTTTGCTTTAGATTCTGATTTGAAAATATTTGTTTACCTTTTAATAGGTGGGTTAAGCTCAGTTACATTTTGGCATGATCAATATGTTTGATCTTAGTTCCATTATTTTACATCATATTTTCTGTTTACATGTATTTAAAATATTTTATTCTGTGGTCTGTTTTATGTAATTTTTTCAGAGCTTTTTTAATATCTAGGAAGGTTTACAGTTTTGCTCTAGTGATTACCTTTATAAAAATACTTTTATACCCTCAGTTCCTTATTTCTTTAATTTCTTTACTGTGAATAACAATAAAATTACCCTCTAATCTCTTCCTCCCTTACTCCTCCTTTTCATCTGTTAGTCAATTTTAGTTAATAGAATTCTCTTTATGAAAAATGTTTATATTTGTGTTCTCAAATATGCTTGAGCTTATTGTGTCCACTTACTTTCCACTGTCTCTCTGTTCTCCCATTTTATTATGTTTCACGATTCCTACACTGCCAGAGGACTTAATACTTGCCTATTATTTTGTTACCCTTATTTCACATTTTTGTCCTAGTTCTCCAGTTAAGTATATTCAGTTCTGATCACCAGGCTTTTTGCCAAAGTTTCCCTCCCAGCCAGTCATTTCCTGGTTGTCTGAAATCAGTCCTCCAGTAGAGTCCTGAGAAAGGGCTCATGAGAACAATGGTCCTTGAAGTTTTTCATGCTCAGAGCCATTTGCCTGTATCCCTTATATCTTAGGACAGCATGGCTGGGCTTAAAATGCTTGACTCACTTTTTCTTTTCTTGAGTGTCTTGTAAGTATTGTTTTACTGTTTTCTGGTGTTATATGCAGGTGTGAAAGAGCCTGATGCAAACTTGATTTTTGTTCTTTTGTCAGTGACTTCTTTTTGTCAGGATAATCAAAGATTTTTTTTTTAAGTAAATAGTTTTACCAAGGTATGCCTTAGAGTTGACCATTTGGGATCAAAGTTATCAAGTACACAGTGTGCATTTTCAATATGTAGATTTCAGAAAATTTTTTTTCAATTCAGTGTAAAAATTCTTTTCTGTTTCATTGTTTTGATTTTCTTCACTGAGAATGAATACCAATTACTATATATAGGATGTCTTTTGACTTCTATATACCAATTATTTTTTCTCAAATGTTTTTTATCTCTTAATTTGTGTTTCCTTTTCTTTGCCTTCCCACATCTCTCTTCTGAATCTTTACTGTGTTTTCTGAAATATCTTTTATCCCCTTGTGGACCTTATAATTCAGGTTTCTTTTCTATTTTTTTTTTTAGTTCTATCCATTTCAATGTCATATCTTCCTTGCCGCCTCTTTGCTGAGATCCTTTAATTCTGATTTATTTTTTTCTTAAATGCAATTGCTTCCTTAACAATTTTTTTCTAGTTCATTTTGAAATGTATATAATAATTTTTATCTACATTGTAGCAATACTTTCTTTCTGGGGAATTTTTATGATCTTTCCAGAAATTAAGCTGTTATTTTTCATCCTTGTTTTTACAATGAAGGCAGGCAAATTACTTTTCTGTTACTCATGTTTGAATGAGATAAATTTTTTTGCTGGACTGAAAGCAGAGATTCTTGTGGGAAACAGGCTGACGTGCCATGGTAACTTTCCAAGTTGGGCTCCCTCTGTTGCTATAGGAAAGGACTTTACAATATGTCCCCTCTAGCTTAGCCTGGTTTGGGAAGGCTTATACCACAAGCTCTGTGTTTCTCAGAACTTTTCACAGCCCTTGCCTTCTAAGGCAACGTACTCATTTAAAAAAGTTGTTTTTATCACTTGCCTTTTCTGAAACCCGTCACTTCTGTATTCTCCTCTGCCACCCAACACTGTCACCATACCCCTCAATAAAATGTTCTTTAGGGCACCTTTGTATGCCGAGAGGCTATGTTTCTTGTCTGTATTTTGCTAGAAAAGCTCAGCAAATGTTTCCTGGCTCCACTTAGCTCTTCATTCTTTCAGTTTCTACATATTTATGATGTCCCCGCCATGTGCTGGGCATTAATAAAGACCCTGAGGATACAGAGCTGAACGAGATAAGGAAGGCTTCTTTTCTGATGTAGCTTACATTTTATTGGAGGAAGAAATAGAAAATGAACAAGAAAATATTAGTAGTGATACATGTCTAATGCAGTCTCATGGAAGCATTATTATATCAGTATCAGCATATGTGTGGGACTATATGGGATTATCTGGGAGATAGTACAGGTGGAGAGAAAAGGTTTAAGGAGCCAGCTGTGAGGTGATACCAATATTTAGAAGTAAAGCAGGGAGGAGATGCCAGAAAGTAGACTGAGAAGGGAACATCCAGTCAGGATGATGGGAAGAAAAGCAGGAGAGAATGGTATCCCCTTGAGAATAAGTACTTTAAGAGGGGAAAAGTGTCCTGTGTCAGACGCTGCTGAGAGGGCAGGGAAGAGGAGGATGGAGAAAGTCACTGATGACTTTGGCAAGAACAGTGTTGGAGTAGCAGTGGAGACAGAGCCTGGAATGGAAAGGGTTGTGGAGAAAATGTAAGGTGAAGAATTAGACAGTTCAACTGGTTCAAGAAATTCTTCTGTGAAGAGGAGCAGTGACATGGGGGTAATACCTACAGTGGGTAAGGAGTTCTTATTTTTTATTTTTTTAAATACGAGGGATATCGATTCATGCTCCTATGTTAATGAAAGGATCTGGTAGAAAGGGAGAAACATGCTCCTACGTTAATGAAAGGATCTAGTAGAAAGGGAGAAATTGTTGGTGTAGGAGAGGGTGGCAGGGATAATTAGGATCAAAATCTTTGAGAATTTGATGAGGTTAAAGTTTGGAAGTTGCAGGGGTGGCTTCTGAAGGGAGCAGGACACCCTGTCCATTACGTCATGAGGGAAGGCAGAGTTGGGGCCCAGTGGAATGAAGATTGGTAGATTTCGATAGTAGGCATTCCTATCAATTATGTTTTCTCCTTGGAACATGAGTATCAGTTATCAGTTAAAAGTGAAGATGGACAGTTAAAAAGGGGGATGAGGTGGCTAGCAGTTTTGAGGAGAAAAGAGAAAATGTGAAATAATTGTTTTAGAGAGTGGTAGGGTGAACACACTAGGGAAATGCAGTAGGTAACCCTACTGGTAATCCTACCAGGCAACATTAAGTTCTCATTTTAGGTTGTGGTTATGAATTGAAAGTGAGATCTTGACTCTATGCTGCTTTGTATAGAATTCTTTCTATACAGATTCAATACTACCTTGGGCCACTCCACAATGTTTCTGTGTGTTGATCTCTTATCTCCTTACTCCAATTAGATTGTAAGCTCTTTAGGGCCAGGAGTCATACTCTGCCCTCTTCTCCCTACATTTCCTTCCTCAGAAAGCCTGACTATACCCATGGCCTTATACTACATGTCAGCCTGCACCTTTCTTCTGAGCTCCTAACTCAAGTATATCACCAGTCGCTAAAACTGGATATTTTACAAATGCAGTAGAGCCAAAACTGAATTGATCCTCTACCCCAGTTGACCTCTTCTTGGTAAAAACCCTTTCTCGATTCAAGATATCATCTTCTATAACATCACCTGAGTAAAAATGTCAGCGTCAACCATAACTTCCTCTTCCTCACCTCCTTCCTCTAGTCAGTCATCTCATCTTGTTGGTTTTGCTTCTTAATTTTTTCTCAACCACCTCCCCTCCATTCTGTTCCTACTGCCACTGCCTTAGTTGAGCTCTTGTTCTCTCCCAAGTTAGATCATGACCCTAACAGCTTGCTGATGCCTGTGATGAGCCTGATTGACCTCAGTGGCAAAGCTAGAAGCTGGGACAGAGAATTCTCGAAGGTATGATTCTGTAAGGCATGAGTGAGATTGTTGTAGCTCAGACCTCAGTGGACAGCTGGGAGGTTAATGTTTTCCCAGGCTGACAATCCAGGGTCAATTGCCTTAAACTTCATCAGGCTCAGAATCACTCTCTGGCTGGATCCTAGCAACGTTTCTCTGCGTTGCAGAGTTAGTCAATGAGATTAAGTCAAATGCAATGCTTAGGGCAATTTTCTGTTTCCATAAATGTTTAAGATCCTCATGAGAGGGAGACCCTCACCTTCTAAACTTGTTTGTCTTTAATAACTCTGTGGGCCTCATGTACACAACTATTTGGTTAGATCTAAAGTGTAGTTTGATCTTTGATTTTTTTTTTTTTTTTTTTTTTAGTATGGCTCTATTTCCCCCAAACCGGGGACACAACAGCTGGGCAAATATTTCATCTAAAATGTATCCTGTCCTCTGTCTTGAGATCCTGGATGCACAGGCTTCACAGGGCACACTCCCTCCAGAGACAAGCAGACTTCGAGAGCAGTCATTCAGCTATTTGAGGATGCTCCAGGCCTCTTTGTGGAGAAAATTCTTCTGTTCCCTGCACCCTCTCCCCTTTGTTTCTGACTACACAGGAAGGGAGATTAAGGGGCAGGCGAAAGGGTCCTCCAATAGATACAAGAATCTCTAGAGGGTTAAAACATGTATGTGCTCTAGCTTCTTTTATTGTTAGTTAGTGACTTAATGATTTTAAACTATATTTGGATGACCCACGTCCATGCATCATGAACTACAGGTAACTTTTTAAAAGGCAGTCTGCTTTCTAATTAAGTATAGATATGAGGGCATTGGACCAATGGTGAAAAACTCAAAGCTGTCCATTGTGGCAGGTGTCTGTGGCCTCATTGTTAATACTCCTATCCTGCAAGTAACCTCATTAAATTTATAGGCTTTCATTTTCGAAGTAATATACTTTGGAGCTATAATAGAAAGTTACAGTGTTCACCGTTAGGCACATTATCGTGTTTTACTGAGTTCTTCCATCTTAGCAGAGGTAGGCATTTGCTCCCACCTGTTTGAAGTCATGCTTTTGTGATGTAGAATAGTGTGGCCTTTATTGATCCATCATTTATTGATGAATTAAAATGAAGCCTAAATTGCTTTTTGAAGAAAGTCTAGGCCCTGCTTGGAGTTACTCCCTTGCCTCATTTCTGATGATTGTGAGTCTGATGAACTTCTGTTCAGGAGTGAATTCTCTTTAAGCTCTTCACAGAAGGATGTCAATTCTGCTGGCTTCTTAATTGATCCTTAAACTGCACTTATCTGCAGCATCGAATAGTTCCATCCAGGGATGACATGGGTTACACAGTCTTATGTGCCCTGTGACGCCTACACAAGGCAGAGGCAGCAATGTTCATGGAGTATTAACTGAGGGTTGTGTTGTCTCTCCATCTGTAGACACTGGGAAAAAATGGTATATCAATAATAATTGATTGAGTCTTATGATATTCTGGATGTCATTCTCAGTACTTTACATTTTACCTCACTTAATCCTCAAAGCAACACTGGAGGCAGAGTTCTATTTGTTACCTCCATTTTACAGATGAGAAAATTGAGGCAAAAAGAGCTTTAGTTACTCACTCAAAGAGATATTAAGTGGTGGAGCCAGGATTTGAACCTAGCAGTCTGGCTTCATGGTCTGGGCTCCTGGCCACCATGGTATCTGTGTTTCATTTCACCCACAATGGAAGTGAACTGAAGGCAGATCCCTGGGAAACATAGGGAAAAATAGTTCAGGGAAGGAGACTGAGAGAAAATGGTCAGAGAGGTGGGAGAACAGCCGAGGAGACACCTTGTCCCAGGGACAGAGAGAGTTTAAAAAGGAAGGGGAGATCAAGAGTGTTCATGCCACAGAAATGTCATCAAAGACAAGACCTGAACAAGAGCAGAACTCAGAGAACAGGGGAGGTAGTGGAAGCAGCGTTGTGGCGTGTTGGCAAGAACTGTGTGGTGGGGAACTGGAGAAGGCAAACTGTATTGTCAAAAATGACCTTTCCTTTAAGGTAGGTTTTAAAGTAGGAGCCAAATTTTCATCCATCATGGAGTTAGAGAAGAGATTCCTACCTTGAGTAGTAGGATGTCGAATCAGCATCTGAAGCTATTTGTGGTGAAGGACCAGTTTTTTAAAAAAATTTCCAATTTATTGTTGATGAATACATTGCTAAGACATGGTAAAAATGAGTTAGCAGAAATATGTTCCTGTGCTGGGGTGTCACAGCGCTGTCAAAATGCTGTAGAAGTTACTGACAATTTCCTCTCAGTTTCTGTCCTTACCTCCTTGCAAACGAGGACCCGTAAGCAAACGATTCTTGGACCAAGACCCTAGTACCGGTCTCCAGACCACACTTGGAAGGGTCCTTTCTAGCTCCGTGACGAGTAACGAATAATCCAGAGCCTTTGATCTTCTTGACAAGCCGATTTTTTTTTCTCTCTCTTCCTTCTTCATAACTTTTCATAGTGTAACTGAGTTTTTATCCCTTTTTGGTATGGTTTAGAACCTTATTTTGAAAATTCACTTATCCCTTTAGCTCTTTAGATACTTTGCTTTTAGATGAAAAATATTAATTTTCTTACGTATTTTATCTTCTTGTCGTGACCTTCTTTTCTAATTGATATTTTACCTTTTTCTGGTGCAGTTCAGGGCTGTGGGATCTGAGGGGTGGGTCATGGAGCATTTCACCTGAGCCAGAAGGAGTGCTTTATCACTGATGGAATCTAGATTTGCTCACACATGGGGATAACAAAAAGCAGACCAACTTTTGGTCGGTTTTATTATTGTATCTTACATTGTCTCCAGACAATGCCCCTCCTTATCATTGGTACTCGGGATGAAATCCTTCCACTGCCCCCTTGGTACATCACTGACCTTAATATTAAATTAAGAGTAAAAGTGCTTCAACTTGTTGGATAGCTGCCAATTAAAATATTCAAATTATCATTATCTTCGAATTTTATAGGCCAGTGACTACTTCTCAAAGGCTTTAAAGTTTGATCCAGAAAATGAATGTGCTACCATGAATCGAGCTATTGCAAATACAATATTAAAGAAATACAAAGAAGCAAAAGAAGATTTTGCAAATGTAGTGAAAAGCTGTCCCTCTTGGGCTGCAGTATATTCTAACAGAGCACACTTCTACTGTTGTTTAAAGCAATATGAGCTAGCTGAGGAAGACCTAAGTAAAGGTATGTTCTTTTTGTAATTGTTTGGGTAAGATTACAGTGGTTGTTGTGGGTTTTTTTTAGACAACAAAAGATGAAAATCATCAGGTCTATTTGGGTAAACTTACAGAAGAATTAATGTTTTTATAGATCATATCTTTAATGTAATCAATATAGATTCCTTTGTGTCATAACTTAAAGCACAGTGAGCTGAAATATAGAAAACTATTAGGGAAACCATCCACAAACAATGCCAGCCTTGCAAAGAAAGACATTGTATTGTGTTTCCCCAAGTTAGTTTTCTTACAAAGATTCAATATTTTTAATTTAACTAAATACTTACTTACATTTGAAGAAAAATGTTTTCAAATAAGTAATACTAAAGTTCTTACAAAATTTTTATTTTTTAAAAAATGAGACTATTTTCCAGTGCTGGCATAAAACATATCTTGAAATGTTTTTCTTTCACAGCCCTGTCTTTGAAGCCTAATGATGCTCTCCTCTATCGTCTTAGAGCAGAAGTTCGTGGTAAAATCGGTCTGACTGAGGAAGCTATGGCTGACTACAACCAAGCGCTTGATCTGCAGGAACACGCCTCAGTGACCTGATTACATAGACCGTGGTTTCTGTGGTAGTTTACACAGCTCTTCTTCCAGAAATTGAGACTGACTTGTTGTTTAAAAGGTGGCACTATCTTCATTATTGTATTCATTATATTTTGTTATCTGTGTAACCCTTTAATGCATTTTAACAATATATTTATGTCCTATATTAATTATAAAACTTTTAGGTCATTTTCTGCATATTTGGAATAACTAAAAACTGAATTTCTTCATGGGTGCAGAATTTAAATAAGAATGTTTCTTAAGGAATATTAACACTTAAAATATTTTCTTTAAAGTAAAATAATTCCTTTTGAAATAATACTTAATGATTGTAGAAAAAGTGTCATCGACCTTTTCATCAATACCTACTCATAATATATGTAACAGTGTCCAGATTAAAAAAAAATAAATGTAGAGCTGATGACTATAAAGAGGTTGAAATCAAGTACGTTTCCTCTCTCTTCTTTAAACAGTGTCTCTCCAGGCCTGCATTCTTCCGACTACTCATCTTCCACCAGATACACACGGTTCTCTTTCACAGGTTGCCTCCAGCATCTATGAAGATTTTGAGCATCCCATTTCCTTGAGATAGTTCCCTTTGCCTCTTTACTGCAAATTTCACAAACATATATAAAAAATTTGTATGCATTTAAAATTAGTGCTTCATAGAAGTTGATGAGTACAAATAAAACAGCTAAAAATTCTTTATAGAATGTCTCTGAGGGATCCTTAAGTGAACCAGAAAACTCCCTTCCATTATCTCACTGATAAGGAGGTTTCACACAGATTTGCTTCACTCGGTTTGTTTTCCTTCTTTGGTTCATTCCTCCCGTCTGTCCCCAGCTCCTCAGAGACCTGTTTTCGCTGAGATCAGCCATTTTGGAAAGAAGACCTGTATCCACTCAGCTTCCTTTGTTTTTAGTTTGATCTACCAGATTTTCACAATAGGAAGCTGATTTTAATTTGTGCGCCACTGTGGGGATGCTCCATGCTCTTTCAGAATAATTTTCTTGACATGATGTGTGTGGGTCCATGTGAGGACTGGGTCATCCCTAGTGAGTTATTTCAGTGGGTGAATCAGCCACAATTAAAAAGCCGCTTCAGATCATCTTGCCCTCATCTGCCTCCAGAGCCTTTAGTTCTAGCCCCGGCCACAGAGGAAGTCCAGACCAACCTCCTGCACCCACAGACAGCCGTCGCCTGCTGCCGCAGCGGCATGTGGCTCGCCCACCGCCCTGGGGCGTCTCCGCTAATGCTGAGGCGCTGGGGGCTGCGGGATTCTCTCAGTGCTCCTGGCCCCCCCGCCCCCCATGCACCGCGGATGTGCAGGACCTAAGTCCCTGTCACATGAACCTTCGCCGATGGGGGAAGGGAACTAGCAGATGGGCTCTTCCCCCTTCCATCGCTTGGAGGAGTGTCCTGAGACGCTCGGTTCGCACAGCCTCCTGGAGGGGGTCCTGGGAGAGAAAGCAATCAGGGTGAGCTTCCTGGCGGCCAACTTCGCCACGGACCCGCACCGCGTACTGGCGCTTCTGTCCTCCCCGCCTCGCTCCCTCTTGTCACCGCTCCTGCCCTCCTGGGTTTGCGCTTCTTGATAAAGTCCTAGCACAGAAGCATCTGCCTCTGGCTCTGCTTTCTGGGGGCAACCTAGGCGAAGACAGTAATATTTTTTTTTCTGATTACACACAAATGCCTGTAACGTGAGGCAGGAATGATACAAACCAAGAGCCACGAGAGCATAACAGAGCAAACCACATCTAACTTGCTAAAATGCTCCACGTCCGCGGCACCCACCTGTTCTGTATGCACTGAGCATCCTACTGCGCACACCTGCCATTTTCCACCGCAGGCGTGTCTCAGTCTACACACGGGCCAAGCAGGAACTGCAGGGGAGCTCGGGTCACTAGGAGCAGCCTTCAGCGAGACAGGTGGGACCTGTAGCATAAACACGTTAGCTTTCTTCCTTTTGGGGGGTTCCTCTGCCTGACTTCCCTGGTGGCTGAGGGCCCCCCCCCCCCCCCGTTGCCCACCATATGACCTCCTCGATACATATCTTTTGTTAGCTTTTCCTTTCCTTGCCTCACTCCCTCCTCCCCGACACAAGCTCCCTGGGACCTCCTCCCAAATAAACCCCTTGCACTCCAATCCTTGTCTCAGGATCGGCTTCTGGAGGAATAGAGTCTAAGACAGCGTCAGCCTGGGTCCTGAGCGGGGAAGTGCCCGTGGGCAGAGGTGTTGAATAGTAAGGCCCTCCATACAGACAGTGTCAGGACAGAGAGGCGGAAGTGGGAAAACAGAAAAGCATGTTTGGAGAGTGGCTGGGGCAGATTTGTTGTGAGAGAATTGTGGGCGGAAAACATGGTCATGTATTCAGTCAGACATGGAGAATCCTTAATGCTGGATAAAGGAGTCAAAACACAATGCAAAGAGTTAAGACTTAACTGTGTGTGTGAGAGAAAGTAGGGGTGAGGCAGGGGGTGTATCCCCTTCACTCCCTTTCTCTCCCTCCTTCCTTCCTTTAGTGGACTGGGGGTATTCTCACATCACCAAAGAAAAGTTGGGTGTATGAAATTGGTTAGTAGTCTCCAGAGAGAGGTTTGCTCTGCCCTGTATGTGCTCCACTCTGTCTCCGACTGAGTCAGATCTTCTCTGACAGAGAAGATCCAAGGCAGGTGAAGGGAGAGACAGCAGGTTGGAGAGAGGATGGAGACCAAGAGAGAAAGTGACTTCCAGAAGGCCACCGGAGCTGAATCAGGCACTGAGGATCCAAGGGAAGAGGAGAGAGGTGTCTAGATTCCATCCTTTTCTAATTAGCTTTGTGCAGTGGGACCCCTTCAGCAGATGCCCTGAGCCTCTGTGCTTCCACCATGGTAAGACTTGGTGATCAGGCTTCATTTATTTACAATCGTGTGCGGGCACACACACAGGACTACTGATGGTTATCTCTGGGAGATAAAACTGGAGGGAGAAAAGGATAGGGAGAGTTTTACTTTTCTTTTTCACATCAAGATGGAAGAAGAGTGGTCGGATTATAGATGGCTTTTACTTTCAATTTTATGCATTTCTGTAAGTTGCAGGTTTTTTTGTTAATTATATTTTTTTCTCTGCTAGATCATAACCTC